AATTTTACCTCTCGTAATGCGAGATTTTAATTTAAAACATAAAAGTGAAGCACTTGGAATTTTAATGACGATTTCAACATCTTAATAATAAGGGTTTTTATCATAAATGGTCTCTGAAATTGACCATTCCCATCAAGATAGTCCTTGAAATTAAAAATATATCAATGTAGTCCCTGAAAATAGGTATCGCAAATCAATGTGATCCTTCCGTCACAATTTTGTTAAAAATTATGTAAAGTGCTGATGTAGCACAGAAATGGGCCCCATAAGCCTTTTTTTTTCGAATGTGGATCTTGAGGATCCTCAAATTTTGTCCGTTCATCGTACATCGTGCAGTCATTTTTTGTCAAGTACTATTCATATTTAATTTTAAATAAAAGTATTTAAAATGATTTCTGGGCGCACGATGTGAGAATCCTCATTCTTTTTTTTTTCTCACAAATGGTCCTTGAAATTGACCCGCGACACCAAAATAGTCCTTGAAATTGACCCGCGACATCAAAATAGTCTCTGAAATTGAAAATTGATCAATGTAGCCCCATAAGTAAGTGTCTTAAATCAATGTAGTCATTCCATCACAATTTTGTCAAAAATTCTATTATGTGCTGATGTGACACATAAATGGGTCACACAAGTCTAATTAAATTAAAGAAAATACAAATAGGCTTAATAATTTAATAGTTAATAAAAAAGTTGTGAAAAGAGAGAACTTCATAGTGCAAAAAGATAAACCAGGTTACAAGTAGGCCCTACTATAAGAAAAATAAATTTCATAGTGCAAAAAAATGTTAAGACAACTTTTTTAATTAATTATTAAACTCACATCAGTACATAACAAAAAAATTTGCAGAATTCTGGCAGAAGGATCATATTAATTTGTGACACATATTTTCAAGGATTATATTGATTGATTTTCAATTTCAGGACCATCTTGATAATATGGGTTAATTTCAAGGACCAAGTCAATTTCAATGACTATTTGTGATAAAAACAAGTAAATCTTGTGGGACCCATTTATGTGTCACATTAACCCTTAACGGAAGTTTTAACAGAATTGTGACGGAATGACTACAATGATTTGCGAAACCTATTTTCAGGGACTACATTTATCGATTTTCAATTTCAGAGACCATTTATGATAAAAACCCTTATAATAAAGATACTTCTAGCAAAAAACACTTGTGATAATAATTACAGAAGCAAGATATTTATCTACACGCCACCAAACGAAGTACTATGGTTTAAGACATTGATATATAAATAAAAACCCAATGGAAAACGAATAATGTTATACTTACCACATTTGAAAGGCAATACACGTGGTATACAAAATGTGGTAAGTGTAGCATTTTCAACCTACTGGATTCAATTAAAAATAAAAGGGCCTGTATGGTAACATTTTGAGAAATAATTTTGAAGAACTGTTTTATAAAACAAAAAGGACAAATATGATTTCTGATTTGAGAATGTGTTCGATAGTTTATTCCAAAAATGAATTTTGAGAATGAAAACATTGAAAATGCATATGGTACCAATATCTAAAATGGTGAATGGGGTGAAGAATGTGATGGTGGTGGCGGCGGCGATAGTGGTCAGAGGTGTTTGTGGTGGTGATGGAGGCGGTGGTGGTGGCTTTAGCAGTGAGACGTTGGAGGTGGTGATGGATGGCTATGGTGGTGGGTTGATGGCGATGAATAATATGGTGGTCATAGTGGTGTTAGCGACGGTGACAGTGGTGATGAAAAAAGTGCAATGGCAGTGGTTATGGTAAGACGGTGGTGGTGGTGTCATTTGATGGTGAAATGGTGGAGGTGGTCGTGGCCATAGTCAAGGGTGATGTCGGTGGAGGATGTGGTGCATGATGGCAGTGATGGTGGTGAGTGTTAAAAATGATCACGGTTGGTGATGATGGTGAGACTATGAAGAATGTTGTGGTGGTGATCAGGGACGGATCTAGCACTGGCTGGGTTGGGCTATAGCAAACCGAAAATTTCCTCTCCCAACTACTACCTTTGCGTTGTAGCCCAACTAGAAAAGATAGTTCACGTGGTTACGATGGGCTCATTTTATCAATCTGTTTGAGAAAATTAGGGATTGAAGTCATTAACAGGTAATTTAAAATTTTGAAACAAATAAGGCCTCGCTGAAATTTTTGAAAATCTCTAGACTAATATAATTTGACTTTAAAATTTAGCGCACCTCGATTTCGAATCCTGAATCCGTTCCTAGCGGTGGTGTTGGCGATGGTGACACTAGTGGTGAGCATACATTATTATATTTTTTATTAAAAAAACCTATTTTATATGTATATTTTATTTTTTATTATTTTGAAAACTTTTTTTAGAGTCCCCGCATACATAATTTTTAACTCGTTTTTATATGGGCAAAACGAAAAATTGTTTAACAAAACGTTAATGGACGTGCCCAAAATTTTTTGACAAATTTAAAGGAATTATAATCTTAGCCCAACCTAAAATTAAAAAGGCCCAAATTGCCCGAATGATTTAAAGTTTAGTTTAGCATGAGCAGTGTTTCTAACGACCTCAGATCTCTCAAAATAAGAGATTATATTAACACACACCTTAAATTACTTCTTTCACACCTTTTTAATTTTTTAATATTTTTTTATCAGGTGTTAATGGTGTGTAGAAAATATTAAAAAATTAAAAGAGTATGGAAGAAGTAAATTGGGATGTGTGAATATAATCTCTCAAAACAAAACTTCTTGAAATATTGGTTGCCTAGACGAAAATACAATTCCAAATACTAAGATGATAATTTTTTTTCATAAATTTGTCGATATGTCGTCAATACCTGAATAATGTGATTGACAATGCCATAAATATTTATTGATAATGTCATAGTTATCTAATTTTGATAATCTTACCAAATTGAGATACTTATTTCAACCAATTTTGCAACTTTTTATGACCATGCCTATATATCAAACGATCATAATTTCCCTTCCAAAAATTTAATTGTATCACTCACAATTAGACGTGGTAACAATTTTTTTTTCTTTCATATGTCGTGTTAACCATAAGTCACATTTTAACAAGACATATGAATCCGAACCCTTAAGCAAACTGACAAAGACTATTTAACTCAATTAAAATTATTTTTTAATGGTTCATTTAATGGATGACCTGTTAACGAAAATCATTATATTGAGATACTGTTTAATTAATGATTTTGACCTATACACTTGAGGAAAAAAAAAAAGTGTTGAGCAAAATAATAAGATTAGTATGTACCCCACATGTTATAATACTAAAAGTCGCGCTTAATAATCTCAGTTATAAAGGTACGGTAACAACACAATACATCTTGAAGAAGAATAAAAAGGTTCAAATTCAAATGAATGGTCTACTGAAGAGCAATATATCTCAAAATTTGATCCAAGAAAATCATTTACGAAACACACTAAGAAAATAAAGTATGATTATAAAAAGCTTTTACTTTAGTTGACTAATAAATTACTAAATTCTCTTTATCATTAATGGTTTAAGGGGTGATCCGCATTTTGACTTGAATTCAAGTGTCAACAAATTCATGTCGTTTTAACAAATCGTTCAACACGATGATGGTCAAAGAATATTAAAATGCATCCGTGTAACTTTCTAATCTCTAGAATAATGAATTTCCGTGTCAAACTACTAGTTAGTCCACCTTAAAAAATTGTGTAACACTCCCAGCACCCCAAGAAAAGTTAAATTTATTAAAGGACATGATGAAATGAATAATGTAATGGTAAAGATAATTTACGTTTTTAAGGGAAATATTCACTGTTTTGATTACTTCATTTTCATGATTCATCAAGTTCGGAGATCTAGATCATTGAAATTTGATCTAACGGTTATAAACAGAGGTCCATTTTAAAAATTAAAATATCGTTGGATCAAATTTCAATAACCCAGATCTCCAAATTTGATGGATTAGAAAGAAAGGATCCGAAACCCTTTCCCCTTTTCATTTGACATATCCACGTGAGTCGAGGAAACAGAAGCAGTTCTAGCAGGACTACTGTATTGTACGCATTCAATTCCGCAGGTTCCATATTTTATACGACAGGAGATGCCACAATCTGAATTTATATTATTCATTTTAATAATAATATAAATTCAGATTGCATGCAGCTCCTTCTTCTTCTTTTTTTATTTTTTGTAAAATTTATTTAATTGCAGCCCCTTTCTTAAATTATTGGTTTAGCTCCCTTTAATCACGTGAATATTAATAACCAGCAACTGTACCTACTCCAGAGCACTAGCAAAAGTGGAAGTAATTGAAAAGTTTTATAAGCCTAATAATACAGAGTTGTATTCACTTTTATGAACATGTAGAGAAGTCCTATCAGAGTAGGAGATTGAAACAACTTACTCGACAGTGATGATTTACAAGATAAATAATTGTTTATTTTTTGTTATTAGATTATCTCATGTTTTTAGATTAATACAAATCAAGATGCATGAGATAATAATACAAGATAAGTAGATAATTATTGAGATAATAACAGAATTAGATAAAAACACAAATTATGGTCCAGACTCGAGAACAGTGGTTCTTAATTATCAGTAATGTGATATCTGTTATCTTTAATCTTTTTTGTAAACAGTATTAATTGCAGTCTAATAATTTAAGCACTCAAAATCAACATTAATGCGAAGCTACGTTGTGTAATATTTCTTTATAAATTATCACATAAAATAATGGAAAATGATCATAGAAAACTGAATTTCACATGCATTATGTTGGAATATTGATCATGAGATATGAGATCAATGGAACCATCCACATGTTCTTGTCCATGGCAGTCCACACACTGCAACTGCATGCCCACTTACGCTTCTAGAATTAATTAAAATCTAATGCAAAACCCAAAAATAAAAAGATTTAATTCACACGACCATACAGAAAATTCTAATTAAGCAGCAGCACCTCGGCGATTCATGGTTTTACAATGGACAAACACGCAAATTTCATTTTCCTCACTGAAAAGCAGGCTAGCAGCCTCGGATCCCATGAAAATTAGTAGAAATATTACCTTTGCGTTTACCTCCAAAGCATAAAGTTGAAGTAGGTGATCCAGAATTTTGATGATGATGATGATGATCATAATAATCTCCCCCATAATTATTCTCTAATGGCATCCTCGAAACCGAAAAACATTGATTTTTTCGACCCTTTTTGTTTCTCAAACCTGATGAAGAATTCGCTGACGATGAAGATGATGAGTAGGATGCTGACAACGGTGATGATGCCAATGACAACGATGATGATGGTGATAGCGATGGCAATGGCGATGACATGTTGGGTGCCTTGAGCATTTTCTTCAATGACCTAAGCCTGGAAAGAATGGTGCCTAAAAACTTTGTTTTGGAGCTAGGGTTTTGCTGGGTATGTTTAAAGCTGCTGGGACGGGTAGTGGAATAGGACGGAGGAGGTGTGAGAGGAGGAAGAGAAGACTCTGAAAACTTGTGCTTGGGTGTACCCGGCTGTGACTCCCACTTGAATGGGATAACACCAGCTTCTCCATAGTAAACCCTGCAAGAAGAGTTGGCCACGGATGCTTCCTTGGAGACAATCTTAGAGGAAACGCACTCGTTTTCAGTCACCATTTTTGAATCTGGTTTTTGGGTTCTGACTGTCTCTGGCTTAGCTACTTGGCTAGCAAGAGAGGCAGATCTGAAATTTCAAGATCCGAAGAAGAAGCAGCGAGGTAGCTGACGATGATATTGAATTGAATAGAATATCTTGTAGGGTACTGGTTGCAGTTGAATGTGGGTCGTCTAGTATTAATTAATATAAGGTTCCACAAGCAATAATACTAAACCATATTCCACATTTGATGCACGCAAAACAATAATACTAAACCATATTCCACAATTGATGCTGATTTCAGGAATTTGTCTCTTATATGGGACATAAACCTCATGAGCTTAAATTAGTAAGATTATATCTCTCAAAAGAATGTGATATTATAGATTTTTTTTTCTATTTTCTGAAATTATTTTAAAAAAATTGTTATTGTCATTCCAAAAAAAATATTATACTTAAAATAAAATTTTCATACTTAAGCTTTTAAGAGTTTATTTGAGAGTATTTTTGTGTCAAGCGTTTTAGCTCATAAATGCTTAACTAGAATCTTTTTTCATTTTTTTTTTTATAAAAAAACATAAATAAATAAATGTATTAAAAGCCCAAATACTTCTTGGAAATGTTTATAAAAGAAGCATCACTAAAAGTGTTTCTATGATCTAAAAAATGCATCTGATCTTTTCAAAACAATCTCAAACAAACCATCAGAGTGCTTGATAGTATTACGGCAGAAGAAGTTGTGAGTCATTTAATGTGTTAAGTGAAGAAATTAGTTGCGAACTCATCATTTACGAAATTCAAATGTAAAATTATCTACAAAAAGAAGTACCACTAAATTACAATATTAAGTAATTATATATGTGGCATCTTTAATAAATTAAAATAATATTATTGACGCATTGCATATTTGCAACTACCAAAATCATAAATAGATTTTTGGAAGAACTTTATTTGATCATGTGATGACATGGATATAGCAGGACCATAAATAAACGATAGCCATAACAAAAACAGTTGAGAAAGTGTGGGATCTGGTTAGGGATGAGCTCTGTATCATAAATGAGAGTTTGTCGCGGTTCATATGCGACTCGGCCTGAGTGGTTGTTTTGATGGTAGCAACAACTGTGAGGAAGCCTGGTTGTGCTGGTTCTTTTGGCATTCACGCCAAGGTAATTTGCTACTCATAAAATAAAGGTGAGGTCTGTCCTGCTATCCCGAAGGCTTGACTTGAGCACGCTTAATTTGATCTCCACATGAGGCGACAATAAATCACTCATTCGACTCATCCAGCGTACAACCAATCACTTCAAATTGACTTCCACATGTGCTGTTTAAAAAACATGTCTATCGTTGCAATTTTTAGGGTTTATCTTTCTTTGAGACCACTTGCCTTGTGCACAATTTGAACAATTTCTCTTGGGAAGTCACACGGATAATGTCATTTATAATTATGCTAATAATTGAGGTCAATAGACAGTTTAATCCATGTTAAACTGCATTTGCTGGCTTTTCATGAGAAATAAGTGGATTAAATGAGTTCCTGCGACTCCTTTTTTCATCATGTGACACACGTGATTAGAAAAATAGAAATAAAATTGCATGAACTTGTGCTATTTAAAATATAAAATATAGCATGTTTACTTAGTGCTATTGGTATGAGAAGCATATGAGTTTCTCATTGAAATTTGTAATCAAACTAATATCCTTAAATATCAAGAATCATATCAACTAAAAAGAACTAATTAATGTAATTCTCTTTCTTTATTTCCCCTATTTCTAAATTCTTTGATTAATTCCTTCTTCTGTGTCTGGTAAGTAAACAGGAACTTTTTGTACATTCTTTATACAGTGTCGATTCTGGGTACCAAATTACATGCATGGCGGAGTCAACATAGGGTCATTGTTTGTCTTTGACTCCAGCAACTTCAAAATCTCATGTATATTTGGTTGTGTATTGTATATGACCCCTATAAACACCTAAGGCAAACTAAATTACAACCTCATTTCCTACTTTTTCTTCTATTTTCTTCTAGCTATCATATTTGTCTTCATTTTCTCTCTTCTTGTGTGCGACTCTATTATATGTGGTCGATGAAATACTTTAGTTGAAAAGCTTTGGCAGTTTTCAACATTACTACAGTACAATATCTTGCATTCATCCTCGACAAGCCTCTACAAATAATAGTAGTTGTCAATTGGTAAAAAATTTCGGCATTTGTTGACAAGTATTGGCCAATGCCTACTAGATGCTCGACAAAAAGGCAAAATCTTTTTTTTTTTTTTTTTTTTTTTTTTTTTTTTTTTTTTGATATTATGACACTATTATATGAAAATTATGGCTACGATTACATTAACAAGTATTTCCCTTATTGGGAACAACATACATCAAATTCGTACAATCAACGCGAACTTTAGCTAGCAGACCTCCTAATGCGCATGTGTAGTTACTGCTGATGTGCTCTAATTAAAATGTTCAACAACCCTACCAGATTTTGTGCCCTAAATTATGAGTTCATGTCCCACGGCTTTAAAACCAGTCTGAACCCTTTTGCCACAAAAAACAAGGGAAGAAGAGATGCTTTGCTTTCTCTTAAGTTTGTTTTCCTGGTGACCTGGTCACTGCATGCATGATGAAATCGTTGGGGGCCTCGGGGCAGTTACACAGTTATTAATATTCTGTTTACTTAGGTACGAAATAGCAAGGTTCTAAAAGACATTAGGCGCTAGTCGGGTGGCGGGCGGACAAATGGATTTAAATAAATTTATTATATTTCGTATGAATAAGTGTCTGCTTATAATTAAAAATATATATACTTTCATCATAAACTACTAAATATAATGACATACATGTTATGAAGTATTGGAACATAATAAAAACATGGAGATCAAAGATATAATGTGTGTTCATTTAAGTAGTAACAAGTCTCTTACAATTTATTGAAAAAAAATAAAATGTAAAATGAAAGTTATTTATTTTCTGTCTAAGTGAGTTGCGACCTAGGCGGGTGCCTAGTAGGTCTGGACGGACTAGGCATGTGCCTCAGCAAGTTTAGGCATTTTCTTAATTTTCAAACGCATAAGTATTAATCGGAGTGTTCCCCTTGGCAGAGCTTAGGCGGTACTAGGCGGGAATTTTTAGAACAGTAATAGAATTACAGTTTTGCTTCTGGTCAGTTGTGGACTCACACACGACAATCGGTCACGCAAATATATGTATTCAAGCTAGAAAGCAACCATATCCATGTTGCAATGCGTAATCAACGGAACTTAGATCATGAACTACATACCATCCTTTTTATTATCAGGTTTTTCAAGTATGTTTCGGAGTGTCTTATGTTTTAAAAATTTTCATTGTTAGATTTTGATCAAAGATAAAATGATCAATCTAAATTCTAACATTCAAACACGTTGGAATCTAGAATACTCCATATCATACATAGGATTTTCGTTTAATTACTTGTACTCCAAGTCGCAAGAAATTATCATTGGGGCGACAAGGACAATTATGCTTTACTATTTTTATGCAAGGGTATGCATATTTTATTGCATTCTTTACTCATTAGCTTGGTATATGTGACTCATGTTCAATTGAATGTGAAAGGGGAGAAGTTTTTTTAATGTGCCAGGAATACGGTCGGTACATTAAGTGTAACAATATAATTGGTTGGAAACTTAAAAATAATAAAAAATAATAAAAAAAAGAATAATTCCAATAAATTGTATTATTACATTTGATGTCCCTGACCGTATTTCTAATACATTAAAAAAAATCTCTATGAAGTGTGACATTAATTCATACCAAACAAATGTATGACTCATTGAGCAGTGGATTACTGTGGATGTGGTCCATGAACTGACATGATTAATAGAGTATCGTGCTAGAAGTACTAGTTGTACATTTTTTATGATATTATGCTTTTTGTTTATTGATACGAATTAATTATAATTAGCAATTCGTGGGGTCTAGGGTGTTATGTTAGACGTATTCAAATCTTTGATGAAATCATGTGGTTATTGACGTGCGTGTTTTAAATTGTTTACCAATTCGTGTAGACTTTCAATGGGAACTCATTTCGAGCTAAACTTTTTTTTTTTTTTTTTTTTTTTTTTTGAACACCAGAAAACCATATCATAAAAGGCCTACAGAGAGGCAAACATACATACAATAAACAGGCAGCGACAATGGGAAAACCACAAAGACCCCTCCACCAAGTAGAGGTGTCACCCCTGGCACCACCAACTCAAGTTAATGAGAACAAGGTAGCCCGTCATTATTCAATACAAAGACCAACGAAGATGGGGGCCTAACGACCCAAACGACATCACTCATCTCCGTAAAACCACTCGATGCAATCTTGTGAGCCACGCCATTTGCAGAACGGGGCACCCAAGACCATCGACAATCAAAGAACTTCCCCCCCAATTGTTTAACCCGAGCCAGCACCGGGAATGCCTCCCAACTACCCCTAGACAGCGAACTAGATAAACAATTAATCGCTTCAAGGGAGTCCGACTCAAGAATTACATACCTTACTCCCAACTCGTCACCAAGTTGGCACCCGTACAGCAACGCATAAGCCTCCGCAGCAGCAGCAGAAGGAGCAGATATAGCATACCGCGCTGCAGCCACGAATTTTCTTTCCATGTCCCGCGCAATCAAACCCACAAATCCCATCTTTGAGACCTTGGACCAGCTAGCATCCACATTAATCTTCACAAAAGGAGAGGCCGGAGCACACCACCGCGCCACCTGGGTACCCCTTCTCCCGTCACCCCTTCCCCTAACCCCAGCCATTGCCTTAGCACCAAGAAACGAGCTCATAGCCGCAGAAACATCAGCCAATACTTTTAAAGGGTTAACAGACATCCCTTTGAAGACAAAATCACAACGAGCTTTCCAAATACACCAACAGGTACAAACAATATACGATTGTCTCCACGTTGTATCTCCAAAGTTGCATAAAGTCGAAGAGAATACCTTCTGAATCCATTCCAGCCAAGACGGGAGAGAAAGACGATC